TGTTTCAAGTCCATCCCCACCATCAGGGGCCCTGGTGAAAGCACAGCCCGGGCTTAGACCCCACGCTCTGGGTAGGTCTGTCAGTTGGCAGCCTGAGGCACCACCTGGCGGATCATAACAGTACCTTGCGGCCATGACAGAGCCAGGAAGTGGACCGGCGTCCCTAGAGGATATTTGCCAGCACCTGGCAACTTTGACCCAGGCTTTCCAGAATTTCCACAGTCGCTGCGCCCGACTGGAGGACTGCATGGAGTCATTAGCCCCCCTGACCCCCCCCTGCTCAGAGTCCTCCATCTGCGGAACCTCCCGCTACCCCGGCATCCGGAGCGGTTGCCGCACCCCTAGCTCCTGAACCCCGCTTTCCCCTGCCGGAACGATTCCGTGGAGACCGGAGCCGCTTCCGAGCCTTCCGGAACGCTTGCACCCTGTATTTCGACTTGCAGCCCCGCACGTTCACCACCGAGACCGTCAAGGTGGGGTTTATAGTCTCTCTCCTTCAGGATGAGCCCCAGGATTGGGCTCACCGTCTGATGGAGAAGCACGATCCCCATCTTGACTCCGTGACCGAGTTCTTTCAGGCCATGGCTGTTTTGTATGACGACCCTCAGCGGGCTGCTTCCGCAGAGGCTACCCTATACTCTCTACGGCAAGGCCGCCGGACAGCCGAAAGAATACGCGTCCGATTTTAGGCGTTGCATGGGAGACACCAGATGGAACGATGCAGCCTTATGTCACCAGTTCCGCATCGGGCTGTCTGAGTCTCTCAAAGACGAACTAGCACGAGTAGGCCTACCTGACTCCCTGGAAAAACTGATTGAGTTGGCCATTCAAATTGACCATAGACTAAGGGAACGTCGGCTGGAAAGGAGCAGCCAGGGTCAAAGGGTGGCATGGATTCCACCGAGAGACACAGCTCCAGCCCCAGGGAACCATCCCCGAAGCGCGGAATCAGGGGACAACCCGGAACCCATGCAACTGGGACTGGCCCGTTCCCACTTATCGGTCGAGGAACGTCAGAGGAGACGATCACAGAACCTATGTCTGTACTGCGGGGAAGCTGGTCACCAGGTGCGCTCCTGTCCTGCAAAAATGAGTAAGTCCGCTTCCTTTTCTTTTACTTAACCTGCAGGAAGGGATGATCAGTCAAGTTACCTGGCCATACCTGTGTCTTTACAGCTCCCCGGAGGAACATTGTCGGTGACCGCAAATCATTGACTCAGGACCGCAGCCTGTAGTTGTTTTATCGATCTGACTTTTGCCCACCGGCAAAAAATCCCTCTCCAGACCAAAGAAAGGGGGTTCAACATCTTCTTGGCAGATGGGTCCAGTATAAAATCAGGGGTGGTGGACCAGGAGACACCACCCATTTTCACCACAATGGCAGACCATCACCAGGAGTTCCTCCGTTTGGATGCCATCGCATCTCCCCTTTTTCCAGTCATTCTGGGGCTCCCTTGGCTGCGGGCCCATAACCCCCAGATTGACTGGGAAAAGGGAACAGTTCAATTTCGGTCACCTTACTGTTTGAGTCACTGCCACGTCACAGGATCCGTGGTTCCCCGGTTCCTCCTGTGCTTGGATGGCGATACCAATCTATCCCAGGTTATTCCTCCGGCCTACCATGACTTCTTAGACGTTTTCAGTAAGCGAGGAGCTGACATTCTTCCTCCGCACCGTTCATACGATTGCCCCATAGACCTCCTACCCGGATCTGAAATCTCGTTCGGCCGTATCTTTCCTTTTTCAGAAATGGAATCGGGAGTACTGAGGGAATATATTGACGAAAACCTTCGGAAGGGATTTATTCGTCCATCCACATCCCCAGCCGGGGCCGGGTTGTTCTTCGTAGAAAAGAAGGACAAATCGTTACGGCCCTGCATAGACTACCGTGATCTGAACAAAATAACGGTAAAGAATCGCTATCCCTTACCTCTAGTCCCCGAGCTCCTCCAGAGATTGAGATCAGCAATGATATTTACTAAATTAGACCTGCGGGGGGCATATAACCTTGTTCGTATCAGGGAGGGGGATGAGTGGAAGACGGCTTTCCGTACGAGATTCGGTCACTATGAGTATTTGGTGATGCTGTTGGGCTCTGTAACGCACCAGCAACCTTCCAACATTTTATCAACGATGTCTTCCGTGATTTCCTTGATGTTTTTGTGGTGGTTTATTTGGATGACATCCTAATTTTTTCCCCCTCACTGGAGGTTCATCGAGGTCACGTGTTACGGGTATTAGAACGGTTGCGTCAACACGGGCTATACGCTAAGGCAGAAAAAAGTGCTGTTTCGAACAGCGCGAAATCACGTTCTTGGGACTGGTTCTCTCTTCCGCGGGGGTCGCGATGGATCCCCAGAAAGTCACGGCGATCTTAGATTGCCAATACCCGCCGACAAAAAGGGGGTACAGCGTTTCATCGGCTTTTCTAACTTTTATAGAAAGTTTGTTAGGAACTTCTCCGGTCTGGTCTCCCCGATCACGCAACTGACGAAACAAGGGGTCCGCTTTAAGTGGACTCCCGAAGCTCAGACGGCATTCGAAAAGCTCAAGAAATTGTTCACCTCTGCTCCCATTCTCTGCCATCCGGATTCTTCTCTCCCCTATGTTTTGGAAGTGGACGCCTCCGAAAACGCGGTAGGAGCTGTTCTGTCCCAAAGGAATGGTACCAAGGAACTACTGCACCCTGTGGCGTTCTTCTCCAGGAAGTTGACGCCAGCGGAACGTAACTATGACATTGGAGATCGGGAGCTCCTGGCCATTAAATCTGCTCTAGAAGAATGGAGGTATTTACTGGAAGGAGCCACACACCCAATCCTAATATTCACAGATCACAAAAACCTTGAATATTTTAAGAACGGCAAAACGACTGAGACCGCGCCAGGCGAGATGGGCCCTTTTCTTTTCTCGATTTGTATTCCATATAACGTACCGACCCGGTACTAAGAATACAAAACCAGACGCTCTGTCCCGCATGTTTGAGGACCCCGACGACGCAGTGGCACCTGACACCATCTTACCTTCCGGAAGCTTCCTCGCTCTACAAACGGAACTTCGCTCCGACTTCTCGATGCTTCTGTAGGACTACCAGTTCCATCTGGATCACCTCTCCAGAACCACGGTGGACTGTTTTGGAAGGAAGACTGGATCATGGTCCCAGAAGAAGTGCAAACCTTGGTCCTGGGGCACTGCCACGACCATCCAATGGCGGGTCACTTCGGGGTTACGAAAACTCTGGAACTACTACGGCGCTCGTTCTGGTGGCCGGACATGATCAAGGATTGCGAGCGTTACGTCCAGACCTGTCCCACCTGTCAAAGGAACAAGCCCTCCAGGAGCAGGGCATGGGGATGGTTACGTCCATTGCCTATACCCAAGCGGGCCTGGCAAATGATAGCCATGGATTTTGTGGTCGAACTCCCACCATCCCAAGGCTACACAGCAATAATGGTGATTGTCGACCGCTTCTCAAAGATGGCACATTTCGTACCCCTGGAAAAGACCCCATCGGCACCAGAAACGGCACGGATCTTCATTAAGGAAGTTGTGAGGCTTCATGGGGTTCCCGAAGATATAGTGTCAGATCGGGGAGTCCAATTCACCTCCAGGTTCTGGAACGCCTTATGTAAAGCGCTGGGAATCAAGCTGTCGCTTTCATCCGCTTACCATCCTCAGACCAACGGCCAAACCGAGAGGACCAACCAAACGCTAGAACAGTACTTACGATGCTACACATCCTACCTTCAGGATGACTGGCTGACGTTGTTGCCTTCCGCAGAATTTTCGTACAACAACTCGAATCACTCAGCTACGGGACAATCCCCGTTCTTTTCCAATTACGGGTATCATCCCACATTCCTCCCTGATCTGATGCCTGAAAATCCGGTACCTGCGTCCAAGACATCTTGAACTTCTTTTCTGTCAATAACAAAACAATTCAGGAAGCCATCGCTAAAGCCCAAGAGGACAGTAAAAGGGCGTTCGACAGGAAAAGAAGAGGAGAGTTACTGCTTCAACCAGGGGATCAGGTTTGGCTGGCAACGACCAACTTGAAGATGCTGTGTCCTTCGAGGAAGCTAGGACCCAAGTACATTGGCCCATTTCCGGTTAAACGAGTAGTCAACGAGGTGGCCTACGAACTCGAGCTTCCGCGAACCTTCAAGATACATCCTGTGTTCCATGTGTCTCTCCTGAAGCCATCCAGACCAGATCCCTTCCCGGACCGTGAATCCAGACCTCCCGAGGCAGTCACCATAGGTGACCAGGAGGAATATGAAGTGGAGTCTATCTATCCTCAGTTGCCGAAAGAGGGGGGGCCAGACACAGTTCCTGATAAAATGGAAGGGTTATGGCCCTGAGGAGAACTCATGGGAACCCGCCCAGAACATTCACGCGCACCCAGGCTCATCCGGGAATTTTTTCGTAGTCACCCGCGGTGGAGAGATCAGTGGGGCTCCCGGAGGGTGCCCATTGGGGGGGGGGCAATGTCAGGGATTGCGGCTCCGGAATCAGGGGAAGCACGGCGTCTCCCCCCGCGCAGGCGCACTGGCGGCAGATCACGCCGGGACACAGGCACTAGGTCCCGGCGAGCCGCGGCTGGCAGGATGCCGCGCATGCGCAGTAGGAGCCGCGGGCGCGCCTCAGGCGTCCAATGACAGCCAGGGGCGCGTCCTAGCCGGCCAATGACAGTGCAGGGCGCACTATTTAAAGATGCCCTGCACTGTCACAGATTGCCGCAAGGTCTATCTGTGATCCTGAGTTCCTGCACCTGTCTAGTGACCCTGATTGACCTGACTACGCTGCCTGCTCCTGTGATTGACCCGGATTGCCCTGACTACGCTGTCTGCTCCTGTGATTGACCCGGATTGCCCTGACTACGCTGCCTGCTCCTGTGATTGACCCGGATTGCCCTGACTACTCTGCCTTCTCCTATTCTGACCCCCGGCTTGCCTGACCATTCTACGGACTGACTTACCCTGCTGATCCTGCGTGTGACCTGACTACTCTTTGCCCGCCGATTCGGTACCCCGCTTACCCCCACAGGACCACGATCCGTTACCACCCTGCTGGGGCCGCCATCCTCTTCACATCTGGCTCTCCCGGTACCTGCATACGTCCCTGGAGGCCTTCTCAGCCACTGGTGGGCCTGCTCAGAGGTCGTGACCTGGCCCGAGACTGTTTCAAGTCCATCCCCACCATCAGGGGCCCTGGTGAAAGCACAGCCCGGGCTTAGACCCCACGCTCTGGGTAGGTTTGTCAGTTGGCAGCCTGAGGCACCACCTGGCGGATCATAACAGGTGCATTGCACTTAACCGTAAGGGGAGCTCTCTCATCACCTCAGCCTCCGTCAGGTACGTAACAAAAGGTCTGGATCGTTGTAGTGCACCAACTGGGCCCCAATGAGGACGCAGAAGATTCCTCACTGCATGTAAAGGGACGTTGACTACTCTAATTAAAGAACTCTTTTCTATTTCAGATTTAAACCTTGCCATCAGGTACTGAGGGCGCAAAGTGAGCTTGTTCAACGCTTGATAGTTTTCCTTGCTCATTGGGGACTAGAAACACCTCAGGTTTGAAGTTCTGGGTTAACATCTGAATAGCAGTTCTGCCAGCACTGAGATTTTGCTGTATGTGTTGTTTCTTTGCTTAGGGCTGCTAAGAGTGGTAATTGCCATTACGTACACATATCACTTTATGCTGTTTTACTGAGCTTACAGCCAAGTTTAAAGCAGAGTTCTATTTGAGTAAAAAAAACAATAAAAGTCAGCAGCTACAAAAACTGTAGCTGCTGACTTTTAAAATACAGACACTTACCTGTCCCTTGGTATCCTCATTATGGCTAGTTTCAATGGCCATCTTCTCTCCCCACAGTCGTTTGGGACCTGTCACGTGTTCCAGAAGACTGGGAAGGGAGGAGGGAGGACAACTTCCGCTTCTGATCACCTTAGGTGATCACAGTGGGATTGGGAGTGGGTACCTGTCAAATTCAGGTACCAACTCCCCCCTGCTCCCCAAAGGTGCCAATCCTTAACGGGGAGCAGGGGACAAAGGCTTAAAGGGAAACTTCCCCTTTCGGGGGGAGCTCCGCTTTAATACAAACATCATATTAATTCACTCTAATCTGTCTGCGAGTCTATTATCTGGTGATAAATCACTCTGGTCAGAAGAGTTCTGTGGTGTCAGCAGAGAGGGGTCCAGAGAGACAGAGAGCCCAAAAATAACTCAGCGACTCCTAAGGGGGCAGTGCTACACATACATTATATGTATTGACAGTTTCATGGACTTTAATAGCTGGACAGTGATAATTGGGAAGGTTTACATAATGGAGGCTGTTTGCAGTTGCAATATTCAACATAAATGCAAAGAGATCCCATAAATATAAAGAAAAAAAATAAATACAAAGAAAAATATTGATCATTGTAAGAACCCCTGTCTGTGGTATATGGTTTATCTCAACTCTATAACGGCTTCATTTGCAGGACAGCTTATTCTGTTTCTGAAGAACTGAAGAAAAAAAAAGGAAAAAAAAGCTGAAAAGAAAACTAAATGCAGCCATCTTACATAGGAATTAGTAAGCTGCAATATGATGATTTTAGGTTTAATACCACTTTAATTGTTCTTTATTCATTGCATGGACTATATTCAATGCATGCCCCACCTCCACCACCACTACTAGAAAAAAGGATCATGCATAAGGGTTAGTGTACACAGACATTTGTGTTTTGCTTTTGGAATGTTTGTGAAGCATTTTTCATGAATTTGAAATCTAGTCTTATATTGTATATAGTGCTGTGTTGGTGCTGTATAAATCCTGTATAAATAATCATAGTGCTTGAAGTTTTAATTGTGTCTAATGAAGCAGCATACTCTTGGCAAATTAAATAAGTGGTGGAGGCAGATAATATGGAAATGATGCTTCCAGATACAAGGAGTGTGCATATGTGTATCGCCTATGTTTATTTTATTATCTTTAAGCAAACCTTTACTGAAGTTAATAAGAAGAATGTCATTGCTGACCTACAAAAAGTAGTATTCAAAAGCACAATAACATCCACATTACAGGACATGAGATGCCACACATCAGTGCTACAAGCAGCGTGGTCCTGTGACTGGAAGCATTGTGGTCATACAATATGTGGCCTATATCTCAGTACCCCTTCTGGAGAGTCACAGTGGATCCCTGGCCAGGGTAACACGCTAGATTGCTTCCACACAACGGCCCCCAATATACTCTCCTGAGAGTGTGCAACACCAGCGGCTCTGCTTGAGAGAGTGGAGCTGCTTCACAAAGAAGGTAAGTAAAAAGGTGATATTTGAGCCCTAGAATTCTGCTTGTTGGACAACATGTGTGTCCTCCTCACAGAAACAGCGTGTCAACCTCAATGGGCAAGCTCCTTGTGGCCCATCCTAGAACATGAATTTCCCTACTGCCACACCTGATCAGGTTTCAATCCCAAGAGCCCCCCAACATAGATCATACAAAGGATCTAGTATATCCATTGCATTGTGCACTGTAGACCAACAGTGGACCGACAGTCAGTACAAGCACAGTGACGTACCTGTACTTCTCTGACCTCTTCCAGATATAGGGCACGTGCATGCTACCCCGCTCGTCAACTCTCGCTGTGATTGTACACAGCGGTAGTTTGTCAGCAGGTCTAAGGCCATGAATCATTTGCCTGAGACCTGCTGATTTGCTGTGTCCAATCACAATCCAGAGCCCTGTGTTGACATTCAACAAAGGGCTCTGTGCAGAGTCAATGATCTCTTTGTTTCTTCTCCTTGCAAAGCAGGGAGAAGGAACAATGATATTTAGTAAAAAGCAGCACATAATACACGCATTACACATTTTTAGGCACACACTTAACCCTTCATTAACCGAGAAGTTAACCCCTTCCCAGCCAGTGGCATTAGTATTCCCAGCCAGTGGCAGTGGTATTAGTGTCACTGTTGATGTCAGTTAGTTCCCACCCAGTGTCCGTTGGTGTCACATTGCCCACCTCACAGTCCCACTATAAGACCCCAGTCTTGCAACCGCATGGCAATCACATGGCACGTTGCACCCTATTGTCCGCAATTACAGCTGTCATATAAGTGCGATTCTGACTTGGTCGGAGCTGCACCGATTTCTAAAGTAGAGCATGCACTACTTTAGGTGCGACTTGCATAGATACCTATGCAGATGTCTTGCAAGTCACACCTCAAGTTGGAATACCATCAGACTTTGAAATCATGCGACTTCACTGGAAGTTGCGCAATTTCAAAGTCAGAGCTGTGTGACTGGGTTGTAAGAGTCCATTCACACTTGTGGAACTTGCCATGGGACTTTGGGGTACAAAGTCACATGACAAGTTACACCCCATGTTTCCCAATGAGTACCATTCAAATCTGTGTGAATTCAAGTCACAGCGACTTGAAAGTAGTTCATGCACTAATTTGGTACGACTTTTGAAGCGACTTTTGTCCAGTGAATGTAAAGTCAGTTTAAAGTCACATCAAAGGCTCACTAGAAATTGTGTGACTTTGGAATGGAGCCTAAGTATATAAATCCCGTATAATAATAATAATAAGTAGCTGATCACTGCCATTAGTAGTATAAAAAAAAATTCAGTGTATATATACAGTACACCATAGTTTGTAGATGTTATAACGTTCACACAAACTAAATAATATACACTTATTGGGATTTTTTTTAACTAAAGACATGTAGCAGAATGCATTTTGGCTTAAATTTATGAAGAAATTTTATTTTTTTTATTGGATATCTTTTATAGCAGAAAGTAAAAATATAAAAAAAAGTTAGATTTTTTTTCCATTTATATAACAAAAAATAAAAAACCCAATAATAATCAAATACCACCAAAATAAAGCTCTATTTGTGCGAAAATGATATAAATTTAATTTGGTTACAGCATTGCATGACCGCTCAATTGCCAGTTAAAGTAGCGCAGTGCAGAATAGCAAAACAATGGCCTGGTCATGAAGGGTACTGTATAAAACCTGAAGCTGAAGTGGCTAGGTCTGTATATAAAGTGTATATACAAAGGGTGATATCAATCAGTCAGTGCATACCTCAATTTCCAGTTCCTTTGTTACCACCTCCCACACTCACCTTCAGGACTTCTCCAGAGCCTCTCCCATCCTCTGGAACTCCCTGCCCCAAAATGTCTGGTCAGCTCCTATCCTGTCCGCCTTTAGTCGATCCTTGAAAACTCATTTACTAAAGGAAGCCTACTCCACCTGCACCTAAGAACTGTACTTGAGTCGCCTCCATCGGATCATCCCCTGCAGCGATTACCTTTTATACCACCTCTCCCTCCCTTTAGATTGTAAGCTCCATGAGCATATTCCTTCTGTATTGAACTGTATTATAATTGTACTGTCCCCTTTTACTGTATATGGTAAACTGTCGGTGCATTATAAATCGTGTATAATAATAATATTCCCCTAGACCTAAACAAGCAATTATCCATTGCAGTGCAGGCACAACCTTGTGGCAAAGGATAATTTTTTTTGTGCCAGAAGTTATACTTTAAACGAAAAACCTGCTTTCCTATTGCTGTGCACAACCTTTGCTCCTCACTTTCACCCTGCTTAACATTTTTTTTTTCTATAAAGGGAATTTTTGGCAGCTATGGCAATGAAGGAGGGGGGAGGTAAATTTGTGGTGCTTTAATGCACACTACTTTACCGCACAACTATGCAATGACATTCAAATGATGTTCAAAACAAAGGATGACTTTGCCTGTGTCAGCAACAAGTGTATTGAGCTGTAACAAAATAAAACAGAAGACCCTTGCATAAGAAAATAAATTATACCTCCCCGAAAAAAAAAAAATCCAGATTTGGGGAGGAACAGGTATCCTATGGTCATAAGCTTCCACAATTCATTTCTTTTATTACATTCGGCTGCTGAGCGCCTGGGAGGAGAAAGATTATCCTGGCAAAGCAGAGGAATTACAGGCATGCTTGACCTATGCTGTGTGCAGCCCAGCCACCACATTAATACCAAAAATACAGAACAAAAAAATAGAAAATACAAATAAAAGGAAAAGGACATTTGCAGATGGGAATATGCCATGCTGGGCCAACCAAGACCAAAAAAGTTCCACTAGATTATGATTTGCCAGTTGGCATTTCTCACATACAGGCTGGATGGGTTTTCCAGGTGAAATCATTGACCAAATATGGTCCTGATGATATCTGGTCAATGACATCAACCAATACCATCAGACGGCCTGGTGACATTCATCAGCAAGCCTCATTTGTGGCAGGCATCTGTCAGCATAAT